GTGTGTGGTGGAGGGTGCTCCTGTGTGTGTGTGTGGTGGAGGGTGCTCCTGTGTGTGTGTGTGGTGGAGGGTGCTCCTGTGTGTGTGTGTGGTGGAGGGTGCTTCCTGTGTGTGTGTGTGTGTGGTGGAGGGTGCTCCTGTGTGTGTGTGTGGTGGGGGGTGCTCCTGTGTGTGTGTGTGGTGGAGGGTGCTCCTGTGTGTGTGTGTGGTGGAGGGTGCTCCTGTGTGTGTGTGTGGTGGAGGGTGCTCCTGTGTGTGGGTGTGGTGGAGGGTGCTCCTGGTGTGTGTGTGTGTGGTGGAGGGTGCTCCTGTGTGTGTGTGTGGTGGAGGGTGCTCCTGTGTGTGTGTGTGGTGGAGGGTGCTTCCTGTGTGTGTGTGTGGTGGAGGGTGCTCCTGTGTGTGTGTGTGGTGGAGGGTGCTCCTGTGTGTGTGTGTGGTGGAAGGTGCTCCTGTGTGTGTGTGTGTGTGTGGTGGAGGGTGCTCCTGTGTGTGTGTGGTGGAGGGGGTGCTCCTGTGTGTGTGTGTGGTGGAGGGTGCTCCTGTGTGTGTGTGTGGTGGAGGGTGCTCCTGTGTGTGTGTGTGTGGTGGAGGGTGCTCCTGTGTTTGTGTGTGGTGGAGGGTGCTCCTGTGTGTGTGTGTGTGTGGTGGAGGGCGCTCCTGTGTGTGTGTGTGGTGGAGGGCGCTCCTGTGTGTGTGTGTGGTGGAGGGTGCTCCTGTGTGTGTGTGTGGTGGAGGGTGCTCCTGTGTGTGTGGTGGAGGGCGCTCCTGTGTGTGTGTGTGGTGGAGGGTGCTCCTGTGTGTGTGTGGTGGAGGGTGCTCCTGTGTGTGTGTGTGGTGGAGGGTGCTCCTGTGTAGTGTGTGTTGTGTGTGTGGTGGAGGGCGCTCCTGTGTGTGTGTGTGGTGGAGGGTGCTCCTGTGTTGTGTGTGGTGCGGAGGGTGCTCCTGTGTGTGTGTGTGTGTGGTGGAGGGCGCTCCTGTGTGTGTGTGTGGTGGAGGGTGCTCCTGTGTGTGTGTGTGGTGTGGTGGAGGGCGCTCCTGTGTGTGTGTGTGGTGGAGGGGCTCCTGTATGGTGTGGGGGGGGGGGGGCGCTTCTGTAAAGACATCAACCCAACACTGCTACTCCCAACGAGGCCCACCTACACCTTGCGTCCACTCTCCTCCCACACCCTACCACCACTGTCTTGCTAGGTCCCCCCCCCCTCTCTCTCTCTCTCTCTCTCTCTCTCTCTCTATCTCTCTCTCTCTCTCTCTCTCTCTCTCTCCATCTATCTCTTTCTATATATATCTGTATATCTCTCTCTCCCTTATAACAATGTTATAATTGTGAAAGTCCACTACGGGTTCACCATAGCCCGTGCTACTTGGAACTTTGAAATTCACAGTAGCTGAATTTATAACAGCAATATAATTGTTTACCGTTGGCATGAGGGTGGACCACCGCTGGGACCAGCTCACTGGCCTAAAATATTTAAAAAATAAAATAGCTATTCATTTTCTTGGAAAAGGGGTTAGGGAGGGCATCTGAAAATGTGGAAGGGTTATATTTTATACTATTACGACCAAAGTATGACACGGAAGAATATTTATATTCATTTTCGCGACATCAGTGAATTATTTCTATAGAGAAATTTAGCTTTGAAATGTTAGTTTTCAAAATATTTTGATAGGTGTAGTCGGCGAGCAGTGCCAAAAATCATCGTGGGATCAGAATGTGACTTTGGCACACTGTTCCCTCTTGAATTCTGGCGACGCCGACCAGCCTATGATCGTCCCATACCTCAGATCATTTCCCCTGCAAATTTGGATGAGGCTTGCCCTAAGTGTCTGGCCTCCAACTTTGGACAGACATTCTATCTTTTATATATATATATATATATATATATATAGATATATTATATATATATATATTATATATATATCTATATATATATTACACTGCTTTCAATATATTCTAATTAAGCACTTAAGATCCGCCAGGTCATGCCTAGTGTATAGTGCTGTTAGCCCTGTGGCCCTCAACCGTTCCAGATACGTAAGTTCAATAGGGTGTATTGAGTCAATACGAGAGCTTCATAGGGCAGGACAAAGAATGTTGAGAATGTCTATTA